AAACATTAAATTAAATACTTATTTATCATCACAAAAAAACATTACATAAACAATACATTACCCGAACTTTCCATTAGTCTATAAGCGGTGAAATGTATCTCAAATCCCTTGCCATCGATAGCGTCCCTCATATTAGTGGTCACAAACTTGACGCCGATATCGGTGTCACTGATATCGGTTACAAAACCCTCGCCAGTACTGGAGATGATGTTATACTGAAGTGTTTTGTTGATCGACACAATCACCTCATCCTTGTCTATAGCACAGGGAAGTGTTGGCCTCAGAGATGCGTACTTCAAGGTAGCGACTAAACCAAAACCAGGCGGCGATTTGACCGTAACTTCACATTTGGCTAATATATCGTTCATTTACAACACAATTATCAAATGATTTAATAAAATCATACCATTATTAGGATATTCTGTTTTGAATGCCCGCAAAGTGGCGACTGAAGTGCACGACTCTTTGCCCAATTGTATGACAGCAGCGGTTCCCGAATTGGCCGGTGTTTTGCCATTTGCGGGAACACTGGCTGAACAATAAGAGTCCATATAATAAGTATCATAAGCGCCAAAAACTTTTTCTAACTTATTTAATATAATTATAAAACTCAAAATTAAACCATTATAGATATATTTTAAATTCATGACCACTTTGTACCTAAGCTTTGGCCAATCTATACATTGGATTTATAATGCATGCAAATTATGCTAAAAAATTTATAATCACCAGACAATTAATTAAACAAAAAGCTTAACCTTCAAAATATTTGATCGATTTATTGGTTTTTATTTCACAAATCAATTTCAAATTGTATTGAATTCTTGTTTTATTTTTAACCAAAATTCAATATCTATTGGAAACATACAGACTCAACATGTTTAACATTAATAATGTTACATTATATGGTTATTTAAAAACAGAAAAATTAATTAGTATTAATTAAAGTCTTAAAAGTGTTTCCTTATTTCTTAACGTACCCAACAATACATTACTTTCTGGCCTTCATGTTATTGTATTATGAATAAGATTTATGTATTTTTACGGCATATGAAGAAAAAACAATTTTAAAACATGTTTTTCAATATTGATATATCTTTTAACAAATAAATAAAAAATATTTTATTATTAAAACCAAAGGCTGTTTGAGAACGGAATGCTTGATATGTGTGTTTGCCGTCAGATTTAAGTCATCCAAGCTTTGGATTCCAAAGTATATTTCCAACAATCGGTTTATGTTTTTCCACTTATTGTTTGCCTCGTATTGGAGTGAATGGCAAATAAACGTCGATGTATTTTAATCATAATCTATTTGCATTGCTATTTTAACAAGGTGAGTACACTTCAATTTACCAAATTAACGGTGTAATGCCTACTCAATTCAGATCCTCATCAAATATTTTATGTATTTTATATGAATTGGGTTTTTATTATTCAACTTTATATTAGACTCAAAATAATAAGTATTGAGGAAATGATAATTTCATTTAATACTCCTTTTGTATACTCATTAATAGTTATGTGTTTTTTAAGTAAAAATACATTTTGTATGAATTGCAATGAAAGAAGCCTTAAATGATAGGATCGGATGTGTATTGTATGAGAAATACCCAAAATAATTGTGATTTAATAGCTTTCAAGGCTTACAATACCATATATACCACAAACGTTTAAAATAAGTCTTAACATAATATACAATAGCATATAATTGTTGTTTAAATCTCTATTTACAATATATTTCTCGTATATTTTTGCAGCAATTTATTAAATAGTTTTTTGTAATAAAAAGTGAAACAAATCTAATAAATGGCTAAATATTTGAATAATTAGTGTAATGTGAGTCTTATTGGATGTAATGTTATAAATATATATTTTGCAAAATCATAGGCAATGACTAATTACAGTACAGTTATGTTTATGTGTTGTAAATGACATCATTTTAACGGCTAATCTAAACATCAGACAAGAAATACTTTGTAAAAATCAAACATCGTTTACATTTTTCTCAATACTATTCCACTGTTTATTATATAATACTTCCAACGGATAAGTGATACAAATATTTTCAAGAGGAAAAGGGTGTGATATTGGGAGACAACTCATACAATCTCTCCCCTTATATACATGTTTAATGTTAAAGTCAGTTAACTTTGTTTTACATAACTGTATCTGATTAGTTACAAATATCCTGCTCTCTCTCTCTCTCTCTCTCTCTCTCTCTCTCTCTCTCNCTCTCTCTCTCTCTCTCTCTCTCTCTCTCTCTCTCTCTCTCTCTCTCTCTCTCTCTCTCTCTCTCAATCTCATTGACGGATAAAACATAATTTACAGCATAATTATGCGATTCGTAAGTGAAATAACTAAACTATTCACCAATACTTACATTCACTGATAATTCAATGTCAGCCAAAGTGCAGATAAATCTCATTTATAAAGTGTTTGGCATAAAAAATAAAAGTTTTTATTGAATGCCAGAAACACACAGCCATTCCTTAGGCATGAATTACAGTCGACTCTTGTTATCAGTTGTGTTGTCGAGGAATCCATGCGATTGACTGACGACTCGTATGGGAAGTGAAGACGTTTATTGAGGTTGTCGTCGACGATAACACACATCCGAATCACTCATTGTATGTATTAATTAATCATTTTGTATATTATTTTTTTGCTGATATGTTTTTATAGTCTTATTGTTTGAATTAATATTACTTATAATTCTGTATTTCTATTACACAATTCACATGAAAGATATACCGGTTTTTCTGTGTGCCGTTACAGACGACTATCGCATAATTGTCTCAACACAACTACACCTTTCAAAGTATTCAAACTTATTTAATATATAGTTATTTTATAGTTGTATAACAATTGCAATAACAATAATAACAAAAGTAATATATATTTGTTTTATTTCAGTATATAATTGGGAACGAAATTTTGAGTTCACTTTTTTTGTTAGAGTTTGACTGAAAAAGAGTTTGTATTTCTTGAGTGAATATATATTTATCAAAGACGTGATTGTGATATGAAATCAATTTTGCGATTATTGTAACCGATTTCAGGCTTAACTTCATGTGTGGATCTCAAGTGATATTTTGAATATTCAGTGTATATTTTTGAAGACGTTTATTGAGGTTGTCGTCGACGATAACACACATCCGAATCACTCATTGTATGTATTAATTAATCATTTTGTATATTATTTTTTTGCTGATATGTTTTTATAGTCTTATTGTTTGAATTAAAAGCAGTTTTAATTCTGTATTTCTATTACACAATTCACATGAAAGATATACCGGTTTTTCTGTGTGCCGTTACAGACGACTATCGTATAATTGTCTCAACACAACTACATCTTTCAAAGTATTCAAACTTATTTAATATATAGTTATTTTATAGTTGTATAACAATTGCAATAACAATAATAACAAAAGTAATATATATTTGTTTTATTTCAGTATATAATTGGGAACAAAATTTTGAGTTCACTTTTTTAGTTAGTGACTGAAAAAGAGTTTGTATTTCTTAAGTGAATATATATTTATCAAAGACGTGATTGTGATATGAAATCAATTTTGCGATTATTGTAACCGATTTCAGGCTTAACTTCATGTGTGGATCTCAAGTGATATTTTGAATATTCAGTGTATATTTTGTGCCGTTTTATCAGTTTTTTATACACAAAAGAAAATCTACTGATTATTAATAACCACACGAAGAATGTCAGCCATTTTATTCACAATGATATCCACCGTAATTATCGGTGCGATTCTGTACCTCATCTTAAATCTGATCCTTTCATCAAAATCTAACGAAGAAATTACTGAAAACCATTTGAGAGATGAAGTCATTGACAGAAATACAGCCAAAGTGTCAGAAAGTAAGACACAATCCGTCAAATGGGAAGACCAAGTGTCCGAAACGGGTCCGCACGACGACCTATACGTCACACAAGACGTGATAGATGTCAATGAAAACAAACTGAACGCTCCGGAAGTGATCGGCGAAGAGATCACTAAATGTGTTATGAATGAAGTGAACAAACATTTCACAAACTATGGCAGCGATATATCACTCACTTATGACGAACCGGTCGTCGAAACGGAAGCCACAGACGAAGAGTCGGGCGATAAGCAAGAGATGGCCGACACTGAAGACGTTTGGGGATTAAATGAGACACAAATTTTGACACATTTAAACAAATCGAGACCAAAGAAAGTGAAATCAAGACTTTCTGTGAAAGTTATTTTTGATGGAAATTCAGATGACTTAAAGTCCGATCAGACGGACGACGAACTGGTCATCAAAAAAGACGAACAATTGGTCGACAATTTGTTTGATATTCTGGACTCGGATTCCGGCGATGAGCACAATGTGGTCAACACAACAGATGACAACCAAAACAGTGGTAACGAAAAGTGTGTCAAAGATGTGCTGAAAGACTCGTTCGAAGAGATAACGACCGGAGACTACAAAAAGTTTGACGAGTTTTCCGATTATTTTAAGACCGAAACACAAAAGCATGAAATGACCCGAAATGTGCGTCAAACAACTTCTGTGAAGAGTTTTAGCGTTACTCTCGATAACAGTCAACCACTGATTGATCCGACAATTGACGAGTTGTTCAAACGTATGGACAGCGATGGAAGCGCTCAAATCGGGGACGTGTTTGAGGAGAAGTACAGCCAAAGAACCAGTGATTACGAGTCGGTAGAAGTGCGCAAACGTGTGACCAGAGAAGCGCTGTCATCGGTGGACAGCAAAGAGCAGGTCTCGCACACGAAGACA